TATGTCTCTGGCTGTTTGGCGAGCACACGCGCCCTATAGCAAAAACCTCTTAAAAAAAAAAAAAAGAAAGAAAGAAAAGAAACGTGCTTCTGTTTCATTAGCAATGACTATGAGAACATTTCCATATGAAAACACTATCTGCCTCTTGTCTGCCTGTTGTCAGTTATCTTCCTGTTGTTGTCCTGAGATACCCAATACTGCAGGGCAATATGAGGCTAAAGGAAGCTACATCTGTTTATAAGATTTTGCTTCAAAATATAAGAGAAATTCCATGGCACCAGTCAATTTTCACATCTTCAAATGATTTACACCCTAAAGCAACTGGCTTGGCATTCCATTTTCTCTTCCCCCATTCTCTGCCCTTTAAAAGAATAAAACTGAGGTCAGTTCCTGGTCACAACTTCTTCATCAGAGAAGTTGGGCCCACCAGATCCTCACTTTCCTATACTTGTGTATCTTTGTGTGTTAGTTGTGTTTATTTCTAATCCATAGCCTTCCCTACTCAGAAAAACGTGTTCAGCCGAGCAGTTCCTGGCAGGGTAGTGGTTACATCACTGGACTCCCAGGTGCCTGCCATAGTTTGAGTCCCAGACCTGGTGACTTGAAAATCACAACAGGCACATGTGCATGGGTGCCCAAGATCTCAGGAGGATAATGGGAGAGTAGAGACTGCAGCGTGGTCATTCCCCAGGGGGTGACATTTCACTTTCCCTCTCACTGTCTCTGTCTCACTCTCTCTGATAAACACACATGCCCTATGGCAAAAACCTCTAAAAAATAAAAAGAAAGAAAGAAAAGAAAATTGAAGCTTAACTGATAAGTGTTATATTTAAATAAAAGGAATTTGGATAACTAATCCAGCAAAGCAATATCGGCAGAAATAATTTATTTTTTTAAAAAATGATGAATTTCCATACTAGTGTACATTTCTTTAGAGAAAATAGAGAATTTTGCAAATATATTTGCATCAAAAAATGCATGTAGTTACATAAAAGATCATTTTAACTTTTTATTTTTTAAAGGAGGCTATTACTAGGTGTTATATCCTGGACTCCTGGGACCCAGGTGGAAAAGGTAGAATTGTATTTTGATTATGATTTTAATTCAGGGTTTCAATGGACATTAAAAAGGAACAAAACAAATCCAGCAGGTGGCATAGTGGTTAAGGTGCTGGACTCCCACGTGGCCAACTGCAGTTCAAGTTCTGGACAGGTGGCTTGAAAAATCACACAGGGGACATGTGCATGCATGCCTGCTGGAAACCACGAGAGGAGAGTGGAGAAGGGATTGCCATAGGCCCTGGTGGGGAAGGGATTTCTCATTTTCCCTCTCTCTGTCTCTGTCCAGCAAGTGTATATGCCCTATGACAAAAACCTAAAAAAGAAAAAAAGTACACAACAAAGACATACTTCTGGTCCCAAGGAGGGCCAGCCTCTCTGGCTCACTAACTGCTCCTCTGGAGGATTTGCACAATTGATAAAGTACCTCTGATGAAACTGTGAGAAGGTGGGCACAAGTTACTACCACACATAACAAAGGACTTTGCCTGCACCATCATGAGAAGACATGAAGAAGAGGTCCTTTGAGGGAACAACACAAAACCTACCGAAGGTAAACAACAGGAAGCCAAAGGCTGCCCCTTAAAAATGAGATGCCCCAACCAGAACATAAGAAGACAAAAGAGTACTTCAATGAAGTTGTGAATGGACTCCTGAAGTACCTAAGTCAGACACAGATGGTTGACCATGAAGAGATTGTATCAACAGACAGAATGTAAGGGAAGAAACTGCAGTTGCTTTAAAGACAGTCAATGGGAAGGAAGACAATTATAAAGACAAGCAGCAAAGAAAAATGAATGGTATGTTTCCATCATAGAAAACCCAGCCAAGGAGTCTCAATTACCCAGCCACTCTTGAAAATCAAGATATGGATGCTGTACTATGAGTGGGTCAATGGGGGTCCACAGAGCACAAAATAATGAAGTGCAAGGCTCAGGTAGACCCAGCTCTTGGTAAATGTTCTTTCAGAAAATGTTTTGTTTGTGGGGAAATTGGACACGTGTCCAGATCTTGTCCTGCTAATCCCAAAGGATGCTATGCTGACAGTGGTGGCTTCAAATTTTGTGGCTCTGTACACCATTTGATGAAAGACTGTCCTGAAAATCAGAATTCAGATCGAATGCTCACAGTTGGTCGCTGTGCAAAGGGAATGAATGCAAATGATGAAGAAATTCTGAATGCATCTAAACCACAGAATCTGAAACAAAGACACCTAAAACTGTTTGTTTTGATAACAATTAGACCTGTTGTCAGTTACCACCTCAATGTTACTTTCATAGTTGGGCCTGTGTCACAAGTTAGGGCTGGGTTCCCTTGGAACCAAGCCAATTTGTAAGTATCAGCAGGATTCAGGTGTGGTCAAAAATAGCTCTGCATTCTATCCATCAAAGGTGCTTCTCTCACTCTTTGGACAAAATCTCACTGCAGAGAAGAATAAGATGATTAAATGAGATTCTCTAGAAGAATTTTTTTTTGAGAGGTTTTTGCTATAGAGCACGTGCGCTCGCCAGAAAGACAGAGAGAGACAGAGAGACAGAAAGCGAGAAATCACTCCCCAGAGGATGGCTAGGGCACAATCCCTTCTCCTCCACTCTCCTCTCAGGATCTTGGGCAAGTACATGTGCCTGTTATGATTTTCAAGACACTAGGTGTGGGACTTCAATGACTTGAACCGCGGTTGACTACATGGGAATCCGCCAACATAGCCATTACACCAACTGCTGATTACAAGAATTTTTTTTAAAGGGTTTTGCTCCAGGGCATGCATACTCACCAGAGAGAAGGAAAGTGAGAAATCACCCCCCAGGGAATATAGCCACACAGCAACTCCTTCTTCATTCTCCTCTTGGGATTTTGGGCATGCACACACATAGGCCATGTGTGATTTTCAGGTCACCAGGCCTGGGACTCAATTCCAGCCAGCCAAATGGGAGTCCAATTATATGATTGATTGTAAGAGTCACTTTTAGAAAAATAAAATTATGCATTAATGTGAACTACCTCTAAAGAAAGGACAGTGCTTCACATTTGGGAATGAATAGTGTTTTCTTGGTCCCAAGTATCAATTTATTATTATAATAGAATTTGTAAACTCTCACAAAATTTTATTTTCATATACTTATTTTTATGAATACCTGATTCAGGACTGAACTAGCCATTATTTATTAATATCCATGTAATGGTTCCTTTGGAAATCATCTTTTTATGAATCCAATGTGAAGAGAAAAAATGTTTTGGTAAGTTTTCACATTAATTTTTACATAAAGAATTACAAATTATTAAAATTTCAAGGTTAAAAAAAAATGTACAACACTTGGGTCCAGCCAGTGGCATAGCAGTTAAAGTGGCTGGATCCTGGGACCAGCAGAGAGTGTAATGGTTAGGTCACTGGACTCCCACATAGTCAACCACAATTTGAGTCCCAGACTCAATGGCTTGAAACTCATGCCAAGTGCATGTGTGTGCATGGCCAAAATCCTGAGAGGAGAATGGAGAAGGGATTGTAGTATGGCCATCCCCTCTGAGGGCTAATTTCTCACTTTCTGTCCCTCTGGCAAGTGCATGTGCCCTATAGCAAAAATGTCCCTTAAAAAAAAAAAAAAGTGAATGGATCCCACATGGCTAACTGCATGGTTCAAATACTGAACCTGGCGGCTTAGAAAACACATCAGGCACGTGTGTGTGCCTAAATTTCCAAGAGGAGAATGGAAAAGGGATTGTGGCATAGCGATCCCCCCTCCTCACCCCCGGCTATCTCTCTCTCTTTCTCTCTCTCCAGGAAGTCCATGTACCCTGTAGCATTTTTCTACTCCTAAAGTTTATGTCTCACATGAGAATGTTCTTAAATTTTCCTCTGTAATCTCGACTTTTGCATTACACTTCTGTCATAGCCTAAAATATTTTGATATATGACATTTCCCCCCGAGATTCTTATATTTACTGGTAAACTACTTTAGTAATTTTTAGCAAAGTTATAAAGATTAACATATAATATATTGCTCATACAGAATTATGAAATTTCATGTTGCAAAACGGAAGTTCAAGGAAACATTACGCCCATATGATGTGAAAGATGTTATTGAACAATATTCTGCCGGTCATCTGGACATGCTGTGCAGAATTAAGAGCCTCCAAACACGGTAAGCAATGAGCATGTTGTCCACTGTAAAGGAATGGACTTGGGAGCTATCTGGAAGGAATTTTAGTAGGGAAAATACCTCTGAAATGCCTGTTTCTCATTAGCTCATGCTTAGTGGGCAACTGGCTGTTGCTTTTGATGTCAATGTCAATTGGGCATTAAAAGCCTCCAACTGTCCCAGTTTCCTCATCTGCAAAGCTAGGGAAAATGCGAGTGCTTGCCTCGCAGGGTTGTCATGAGGATTGAATAAGTTAATACACGTAATTTGTAATATGTAATAGACGTAGCAATGAGAACCCAAGAAGTGTTCATGGTTGTTGCTGGTATTTGAATTACTGCTACTGTCACTGGTATTGCTTTTGTTATTGTTTAAATCCTAACTATCCTTCAAGAATAAGCTAATCTTTCTCTTTCAGTAAACTGTACCTGACTCTTGAACCCACAGACAGGTCTTCCTCTTCCCTGACCTCCTACAGCATTTAGAATACCACAGAGCACGTGAACACTCATGATCTTCCTATGCTGGCCAGAGAGCTAACACGGCCCTTAGGTAGCTTCCTGGTTGCATGTTCCCCTTGCTCTTGACCCTTCCCTTCATCTGTATTCCCAACAGTGCTACATACGCACTGTCCTCCTAGTAAGCATTAGCAAAAGAAATAAGTTTGATATGTTAATTACAACCACATGTGATTGATTCTGTTAGCTCAAAGCCAAAATATTTAGTCATTTCAGCTTAAGAGTCTTCTTTCATTATCAGACACAAATTATCTGTGATTAGGTAGTTCTTTAAAATTCAAGAACAGGGTCTTCAACATTTTTTATATCCACACAGCACACTTAGCCCACTGTGAGGTGTGTAGGAGGCCTTTAGTAGGCCCTGTTGGTCAATTATAGAACTATTTGCTCATTCATTCAGGAGCTCTTTATTGAGCCTATTATGCATGCTGGGCACTGCGCATGTCCAGCAATTAATAAAATGATGACGCAGTCCTTGTAGAGCTTGCATTATTGATTAGATGTCATGGCAGAAAGAAGACAATGCCTGTGTTTCTATGCAAAGCAAAGTGGAAAGTTAACAGCTTTGATAATTCAGTTCTAAAATACACACATGCAAGTCATTCCCATTTAGACTGATCACATTGCTTTCGAAATTGCTTTAACTGATCCTGTGGTCATGTCACAGCCTCTGCCTCATAGCCATGGTCTTCCAAGTCCTTTAATGGGTCTATCTATGGCTCTCACCATTTTTATGAAGTTCAATCGCTATATATTCTATAAGTGATCTTAAATTTCAATCTCATGTGTAGTCCCCAACTAGAATTTCAAAAGAGACCACAGCTTTATCTGCTTATCTTCTACATGTCAGATGTATAATAGAAACTCATTGAATAATCTTTTCTGTCAGTGCAAAATAATCATAATTATGATTTTGTCATATTTTGAAGTGAATGAATTCAGTAACCACCTAATGAGAGGCTGAAATAAATTACTTTGTTGTTTAGGACAATTTTGCCTCCAGGAGATCACCCATGAGTGATTTTATCATGAACCAGAGTAATGACAAAATTAATCTCATGTGTAATCTCATGTTAAGAAAACAAGCACATCCATGGAACAAGTTCATCTTTATTTCATCTCACGTAAATTAGAGATAATTGTACTTAATTCTTCTTTCCGAATTGCACTTCATTCTGACCTAGGGCCATCTATCTGCAGCTCTCATAATCAGATATCTTCTTTTTCTGATAGTGTTGATCAAATCCTTGGAAAAGGACAAATCACAACAGATAAGAAAAGTCGAGAGAAAGTAACAGCAGAACATGAGACCACAGATGACCTCAGTATGCTCGGCCGAGTAGTCAAGGTTGAAAAACAGGTACAACTTAGTACGCTAGTTCACTTTCCTTCCTTTATTTATGATAGAGTGTATGCACACACACGTGAGAGAGAGATGAGCACCCTCCCCAGGGTCTGGTCACACTGCAATCCCCTTCCTCCAGTACTCACAAATGTGCCTGGTGTTCCAGGCCAGGGATTCCAACTGTGGTCACCACGTGGCATCTGGCTTCAGATGAATAGCCCATTACCGCTCCACCACGGAACCTGCCCTATACTGGTTAATTCTTTCTTAAGAGAGTTGTTTTTGGTTTGTTGTTTGTTTCTTTGTTTTTATGCTATGGAGATTATGCACTCACTGGAGAGACAGAGAAAGTGAGAAGTCACCCCTTGGGGCAGGGGGATGGCCATGCTAAACCCCTTCTCTTTCATTCTCCTCTCAGGATTTGGGGCATGCATGTACATGAACCTGGTGTGAGTTTCAAGCCCCCAGGCGAAGGACTCTAACTATAGTAAGCCACGTGGGAGACCAGCGCCTTAATCACTATGCCATTTGCTGGCCCCATTGGTTAATTTTCTTAACCAGAAATTTTTTATTGAAATTGGCAACTGAATATATATTAGTGATTACTATTTATTTATTTGTTTTTATTTTTTTAGAGAGATTTTTTGCTATAGGGCACATGTGTTCACCAAAGAGACAAAAAGCTAAAAAGCGAAAAATCACTCCACAGGGAGTATGGTCATGCCACAATCCCTTCTCCTCCAGTCTCCTCTCAGAATTTTGGGCAGACATATACTCAGTGTGAGTTTTAAACTGCCAGGTCAGGGACTCAAACCACGGTTGACTATGTGGGAGTTCAGCAACATAACCATTATGCCATCTGCTTATATTTTAAAAGGAATAATATCAAACAAGAGTGATGAAATTATTTTTTGAACATATACAGTATTCTTCAAAACATTTGTGGGTTTTTTTGTTGTTTGATTGGCTTTACTTTTTTAAGAAGTATTTATTTAATTTTATTTATCATTACTTTCCAGTTTGCTACAGGACACATATGCTCACCAGAGACAGACAGACAGGGAAATTGAGAAAGCAAGCCGCCAAGTCCAAGATATGACCCACGGTCAACCATGTGGGAGTCCAGTGCTTTAACCAATGTGCCACCTGCTGGCCCATATATTTTTGAGAACATTAATTGTTCATTTTAAAGAAACAGGGGCAGCAAGTAGAGTGGTGTTTAAGGCACTGGATTCCCACATGGCCAATTGCAATTTGAGTCCCAGTCCTGGCAGCTTGAAAATCATGCCAGGCGCGAGTGTGTGTAAGTGCCCCAAATCCTGAGAGGAGAGTGGAGAAGAGATTGTGGCATGGCCATCCCTCCTGGGAGGTGATTTCTCACTTTCCTTCTATCTCTTTCCAACAAGCACACATGCCCTATGGTAAAAACCTTATATTGGAAAAAAAGAAAAAAGTGGGAGGATGGAATGCCACTGGAGATTATACAGAAGCCAACACTTAACTCTACCCCCTAAGTGCTCTTCTGGTCCCACCACCACTAGATGCTACCTTCACCAAGGGTCATGACTAAGAGGTAGCCGATAGCATGGTGGTAAAGATGGCTGGATCCCATGGGACCAGCAGTTAGCGTAATGGCTATGTCACTGAACTCCCATGTAGCCGACCACGGTTCAAGTCCTAGACCCAGTGGCTTAAACTCATGCCAGGCGCATGTGCATGTGTGCCCAAGATCCCAAGAGGAGAATGAAGGAGAAGGGATTGCGGCATGGCCATCCCCCCTGGGGGTGATTTCTCGCTTTCT